ACCCAAATCGTGGTTTTGCCGGTGTAGGGATTGCGCTAAGTGCCAAGGCGAAGTGTTCACTTCTAGACTGGATCCCGGTTAGCAGCCAACTTTGCGCGGTATGTCTGGATGGCTCAGTACGCGTCAACAGCTACAGAACGAAGCGTCGATGCTTATTCGTCTTATCGGTGTATCCACCGACCGATTGCAGTACACCTGAAATCAAGGATAAATTCTACAAGGACGTTTCTCAGTTACTCCAAAGTGTTTGATCAACGGAAATCGTAGTGGCCGCCGGAGTGTTCAGTGCTCAGGTGGGATCCCTGGACGAATCAGAACGGGTTCTTGGCGGACCGCATGCAATCCCAGCCAACCGGACGAACAGCGGAAGTCGCCTACTTCAAATCTACGCGGACCACATATTGTTCTGGTCAAACACAAACTTCTCGCACAAGAAACGACATCGGCTTACATAGAGACCGCCAACCGTTTCACAGCGCTGAACAAAAATTGATCACATTGCGATCAGCCACCACTAGCGTGGATCCATTGAAGACTACCGCTCCTACTAGTCAACACCCGTGGACACGGACCATGCTCTGTTACGAGCGAGATTCTCTCTGTCTGATAAACAACCACCACCGAAAACGGTTGCCAGCATCACCGGCAGTTGCTAATCGACTTTCGAAATGGAACTATCAGATCGCCTCTCAGCTCAACCATCAGCTGGAGGACTCGGTAAATACTGGACGACAATTAAGGAAGCGATCAAAACAACGGCAAATTCTAGAACGCGATCAAATAAAAAATGACGGATCTCCCCGAGCTTAGTTGACCTACTGGACGCTCACAAAGCCATTCCATCGGATTCAAAATACGACAAAGCGCGCAAATCCCTTAAACGCCAGCTATTGAAGAATGACCGCGAGAAGTGGTGAGTAGAGAAGTGTAAAGAGATGGAGAAGACTACGGCTATTGGTAACAGTCGCAATCTTTTTCGTTTAATTAGGAGTACAGGACCAAGAAAAGTAGGCGTTAGGTAATTAAGGAGTCCGACGGCACACTGATTCAAATTCAGGAACGCCGTTGACACATTATCTCCCCCTATCCGCTTCAACTGTGCAAATAGTATCAGTGGACATCAGTCCTCGAGCTGAAATAAAGGTTTCCCGGGAAATAAGTTATCTCAAACGGCATAGGGCTTCCGGTCCCATCCGTTTTTAAGGATGGAGGCTCAGCCTTGGTTTTGGAGTTAACAAAACTCCTGGGCTTAGTGTAGGTTGGGGAAGGGGTTCCAACTGAATGGTGTGAATCAGTGATCATACCGATTTACAAGAAGCGTGACAAGTCCTATGCGAAAACCACAGAGGAATAAGTTTAATCCACATAGCTTCCAAACTTCTCGCTGGTATTATACGCTGTCGATTGTCTGCCGCACGCGTACACCGTACGCGTGCGAACTAGGCCGGTTTCCAGGTTGTATCAGCCACATCTTCACACTTCGTCAAATTCTAGAACATAGACACTCCTTTCGTAGACCCACCATTTCTATCTTCCTGGATGTAAAAGCGGTTTTCGACTAAGTCGACCGCTCTAAACTCTGGCGCTGCCTTTCCCTGTAGGGAATGCCCGAGAAGTTATTCGCAATATTACAATCGCTTTATACTAATGGCCGTAACCGAGTCCGAGCTTACTACACCTTTTCGTCCGAGTTCACCACGGAAGGTGTTGTTCGTCAGGGTTGCCCTCTCCTTTTCTATTCAACTTTCTTATAGATTTGATTATGGAAACAGCCCTATCCCCTTTCGAGGATAGTGGCATCGATTTGCTCCCAGGTGGCAGGCTGTCTGATCGAGAGTATGCAGACCACATTGTGCTGTGTAGATCCAGGTAGGTTGCAAGCTTTTCTGGATCGCTT